CATTCGCTCACAGTGTACTTTGGTTAGCCTATTTTCTCACTGGTTAGTTCCTTCAAAAAGTTAAATATCATTCCGTTTATCTTCATATGAACGAACACATGAAATAGTCTGTCGAACAGTAGTTAAAATAAAAGGAACACACGATGATACTAACGGAGAAAGAAAAGACATAACAGAATAAAAGTAAACTCGAAAAATGACGCGAGAAGAGTGAGAGATATACACTGAAGAATGTGTCAGTCAAAGGATAAAATAAATTCGAAATAACTATATCTCTCATGCTCTAGTCCTTTTTAGAATTTACTTTTATTCTGTTTTTTCTTTTCCTTCCCTTTCCTTATTCGTATTTAATGTTTGTCGCATAAAATCAATAAATTTTTCGCAAAGAGATGAATGTATCACCATTCTCATTTTAATTAATTCAGCTTCAGCTCTTCTAACATGAGTTTCTAATTGAAGTGATGTTAGACTTTTGAATAAATAACCACTTCACGCTTCTAGTTGTTTGCTTTTGATTCTGCTAAGTTATCTTACGATTTTATATTTAACTGATTTGTTCGTAGAATTCAACATAACAAGACCATTCTTAATTAATTGCTTAGCATCAACAATTTCTATACTCTCAACCTTCCTTAAGAAGCAATTCATTGCATCACCTTCGTTTTCTGCGGCTAATTTATAAAGAAAAGTTTGTTTTTCAATCAAATCAATACTTTTTTTCACTTTCTGTTCCATTAGAGAATCGAATTCATTAACAAAGCATGGTTCTTCCCTCATGCTTATCAGTTACATGCTGGCGATGTCGTAACAGGCTGAGATAATAAAACATATTGAAAAAAGTCTAATATAAAAGATAAAACACAAATACTTTTTTTCTATTGACAAAAACAAGTCGCTTTAAAGCACTATAAAATATTTAGATCCGATGAGTTGCATTCAAAAAGCAAAATTCGAATGAGTTAACTTTTTCTTGATTATATATTTCAGCAAAAAAGAGTTCAACAACAAAACAGAATCATATGAACTAAAATTCCTAAAACATCTTGTTTATAGATTAAATTCATAAATCGACGCGTTTCAATGGTTTTCAATGGCCGAGGTGGTAGCATCGTCGGTAATTCCAAAAACATGTTGTAATTTCGCTTGCAAAAATTGCATTTCTGTGGAACTTTCCAGATTTAAATCTTTGACTTTTGCAACACCAATATCAATTAACTCTTTAGCAGTAAGAACATTGACCTTTTCTGCCTTTGACATAAATATTGCGCTCAGTTCTTTGTTAGTGCATCCGAATTCATATAGTTTAGTTTGTTGCGAGATCAAAGCATCATTTGTTTTTAATGTCTCTCGCATAAAATCAACAAACTTTTCTGAAAGAGATGACTGAGTTAGCATTCGTGTTTTAATTAATTCAGCTTCAATTTTTCGAATATCGGTTTGAATCCAAGTATTAACGCAGCCCTCTTTATTTGATATTTAGCTTCAGTTTGTTTTTTCTGGAATTCCAATTCTTGACGTCGGTTTTCATTTTTTCCTGTTCTAATTCAAGGAGTTTTTTCTGCTTTTCAAGTTCAACTTCATTCTGTTTTCTGTCGAAAGTTGATTGACTTGTACATTTGTCTGTCACTGCACCCATTTATGACGATTGATTTGTTTACAAGTATAAAAGAATCTACAAAAAAAAAGAATGAGTCAAAGCTAGAGTTCCCGCACATCTCATTCATAAGACTGAACATTTTTCTTAACATTAATTAATACGCAACTTCCATACACGTATAGAGGTAAGATCGTTAAAATAAACGATTTAGGTTGAGATAAACTGTCAACGTTTGCTGTTTAAAAGAAGATTTTTCCTATTTTTATTTTATTTTAAGCTTTCTTTGAATCAGGAAAATACCCATATTTTACAACATTTCATTCGAAAGAAGAGAACAAAATTTCCTAAGTAAAATGAATAATTGATAAGAAAAAATAATGTCATCGTTCTCTTCTTACTCAATGAATCGAAATAAAATCTAAACACAAACATAAGATAATGGTAGACATTATAAAAATTTTAAATTTGTGTGGTGGCTTCTGGCAATTCGTTATTATAGTGTGATTTTTACCCAAATTCAAGATTAGAGTCGTATATGGACTATAGTGTATAAGGGTACTTATTAAATAGGATGCGGTGAATAACATTTTAATCTAATTGGTGATTCCAGAGAATTTGTCAGAAAGCTATTTTTAGTCAAATTTGAGAATTAATATATATACTACTAAATCAAACACAAAAATACAAAAGTAACATATGCATCGTAAGAATTCTTTATTTAAGATCTATCTAATGGCATAAATTTCATTTAAATCATTTGTCCGATATGGATACAGCAATCCAACTACAAATACAAATTTTTGAAATTTTGCTAACTTTAGACCATCGGTTGATTGGTTAGTTCTACTTCCAAGTATGTCGTCATGTATTTTCATATCTTACTACTAGTGCTACCATAACCAAGTACCGTTTCAATATTCAATTCATATTTTCTAATACACTTAGTAGTCGTTTATACGTCAAAACTTGTCTTTTCCCAATATCAGAGATGTCGCAGTTATGCATCTTTCTGATACAGAGCAAGATGTTTTAAACAATGACCTGAGTAATTTTGAATCAGAACTATCGACCCACTATCCTGATGGTCAATCAATTGAGCTATGAGTCCCAGAACAAACACCATTATCCTTCCGCAGGACTCTTGATCTTTCAGTTGGATATTTGAAGGAACTAACCAGTGAGAAAATAGGCTAACCAAAGTACACTGTGAGCGAATA